TAGTAAGGCCACACCTAGGTTTACTGCATACAGTTTTGGTCACCATATTACAAAAAAAGATGTTGAGACTTTGGATAAAGAGCAAAGAGCAACCAAGAGGATTAAAGTCCTGGAGACAAAAAACATATGAAGAATGGTTGTAGGAACTGAGCATGTCTAGTCTAGAGAAAAGAAACAACTAGGGTGACATGATAGCAATGTTCCAGTTTTTGAGGGGCTGCCACAAAGATGAGGGGCTCAACTTAACTTCCAAAGCACCTGAAGGCAAGGTGAGAAACAATGGGTAGAAACTAATCAAGGAGAGAAGCAACCTGGAATTAAGGAGAAACTTCCTAAAGTGAGGATAATTAACCAGTGGAACAGCTTGCCTTCAGAAGTTTTGGGTGCTTTAACATTGGAGGTTTTGAAAATAAATAAAAAACCTTTAAAAAAAAACATTGGAGGTTTTTAAGAAGGGACAGGACAGCCACCTGTCTGACATGGTATAGGGCAGTGCAGGGGTGGGATTCAAATGTCTTAACAACCGGTTCTGTGGGCGTGGCTTGGTGGTCACGTGACTGGCTGGGCGTGGCTTGTGTGTAAATATTGTAAATATTTATGTAAATATTGAATTTTTCTTATAAAAAAAGAGCAACTTTTACCCAAAATCAGACAAAGCCGGCAGGCAGGTTGAGTTGCTCCCAGAATCACAGATTCACTCAGAGGTCTACCTTTCTGCAATCTGCTGCCTGAGTTTGTCACATAAAATTTGCTTGCAACTGGGGCCAGCCAATGGTGCGATTTGCTGGTTCTGCGCAGAATCGTAACAACCGGTTCTATAGAACTGGTGCGACCAGGTAGAATCCCACCCCTGGGGCAGTGGTGGCTAAAGTTTTTGGGTTCCTGTGCCAAAAATTGTGTGTGCGCTTGCGCGTTCATGTGCCAGCACCCAGAAGGCAATGCGTGCGCCCCCCCACGCATGTGCATGCAAACCCCCCGCCACCCCCATACCTGCACTGCGCCTCCCAGCTGATTTTTGGCCCGTTTGAGGCCTTTTTTTTGGCCTCCCAGACGCTTGAGGACAGCTTCTGCAGCCTTTGAAGGCCGAAAAATACAGGAAGTGATGAAATGGGCCTATTTTCGGCCTGCAAAGGCTGCAGAAGCTGTCCTCAAGCCTCTGGGAGGCTGAAAAAGGTCTCACGCAGGCCAAAAATCAGCTGGGAGGTGCGCAGTGAGGTAAGTTTGCCTGAGGCTTGCGTGGTGGCACAAATGGCTCTGTGTGCCCCCTGTGGCACACGTGCCATAGGTTTGCCATCAGAGGGTCTCCTGCTTAAACAGGGGGTTGGACTAGAAGACCTCCAAGGTCCCTTCCAGCTCTATTCTGGTTGATAACATCCCCAAAATATGTGACAAAATTTTAGGCACTTGGCAATAGGCTCCCATTGACAACTGATTGCAATGACCTGCGATCACGATTCCCAGCCAATTTCTATCGAGCAACGTCAATTGGGAAAGATATGGTTAATGACCATAGTAAAAATGGCCGTATCTATGGGATGACTTGCTTAACCAATGTTATCACTTAGTATCCAATATTCCAGGCTCAACCTTGGTCCCAGCTGAGAACTACCTGTATAAAAACAGGCATTTAACATTTTAATTTATTAGAAAATCTCCCTCAAAGTCTTTTGCAGTGCGTTTCAAATATTATACAAGCATAAAACCTGTGGGATGCATAAGTTTTCATTTGTAGGCACCCCTTTCTGATACTTATGAGGGGTTAAAATTCTTTGAAAACTATGCTTCCATTTGGAAATGAATATCTATCTATCTATCTATCTATCTATCTATCTATCTATCTATCTATCTATCTATCTATCTATCTATCTTTCTGCTATTTTAGAAGTACTCTTTCACAGAATCGTCAGACCCCTTATTGGATTTTTGTTGTTGTTGTTAATTTGTACTTGCCAATTTGATAAATCTCTGGTGAAATCTTCCAAGGAAACAAGATAAATCTGTTACTTTTCTTAAATGGAAGATTTTACTGTCTGCTCAAAAATAATAGTGTTAGATTTGTAAATTCTTATACCTGACTCTCCGTTAAGTTTTCTCCTGCACATAGAAACCCACAGCCAACAAAGCTATTAAAAATCAGGTGGAACTCTTAATATTTATTTACTGTGGATTTAACTTATTTTTCTGTGAAGAATTCAAAACAGGGACCGTGCCCAAGGTCACCCAAATATTTCCCTCAGAATCCCAGCACTTTTTAACAACTTCATGACCCAAGCCATCCTTTTAAATATAGGAGGATCTCATTAAGTGAATTTTGCTCATTTCAGACATGAGGAGAAACATGGAACTAATATTAGTTTAGGAAAACATGATACAAACATTGCCCTTTGCAGATTCTGCCAGACAGTTCAATTGTGTGATGCTCAATTATCTCCAGACTTGGAAAATTTCACCTACCAACTTTTAATCATTTTAAAAAGACCTTCTTGAGGTTGCCTTTCTTTCATAAATCTAACGTTAAGACCATTTCCTTGGTTATCTAAGACATTCTTCATCTGGCTAGCAGTACAATGGCATATAGCTCTAAACGTTTTTAATTCTTGCAATCTGTTTTCCAACAGATGCTGCTGTCAACAAGTCAAAGCGTGCCACGAGACCACTTTGCAAAAACGGATCTAATGAGAAACAGTTGGTTTGAAGGTTATTAACTAACAACCGCCTGCATTTCATTCATTGATTGGTTTGATGTAGTAATTATTCAGATCAAGAGTTATGATCCGGTGGCGTTTCCTGAAAATCCCTGCTGATAGCTGCATTTCAAAAAGTTTATGGGGAATTAAGCAAACGGTTTTGTGATCAGAAAGGTTTGGCAGTCCCTACAAAGGGAAGACAAGAGTAGTGAGAGCCAACCCTTGGAAGTTCCTGCATAAACTGATAGTATTATGAGGGGCTGTATTCTGAGAACAGGTTACACTCTGCACTGAGTTTCTGCAATACAATCGTCAGGATACTTGTGGTTTGCCTGCAGACTGTGCAGGCAGCAGCGGAATCGGACAGTGGGGAAGAATGGGGACCAGTCTGGGAGTCTGGTGAGGACTTGGACGAGGGTCCTGAATCCGATGCAGAGATGGGGCCAGGACCATCTGGGAGTGGTGTGCTAACTCTGGAGCCTCTGGAGTCTGGCAGCAGCGAGGCCGAGGAATAAAGGGAGCCTGTTCCCAGTGCACGTGTGCGTAGAGCTGCTAGAAGGCAAGAGCAGCTGAGACAAAAAGGGCAACTCGGGAGTAAGGCTTGGAGGTGATTGCCCCTCCCATAAGGTATAAAGGACATGCAAAGGTAGAGAAACCTTTGCAGGAAGCAAAGTCATTTGCTTTGATTGGATTAATCCTTGAAGCTCTGTGTACTTGGTTTGGCTTTTTACAGTTAATTTGGCACTTTAGTTGTTGGCAGCAATTCAAAGGAGAGAAAGGCGGGTGCTTATCTCGAGGGACTGGGACTCATTACAGGCTGGGAATGAACATAATTCCCAGCACTGAAATAAAACAAGAGTTGTTTTAATTAAGCGTGTGCTTAATTACAGTCTCAGGAAGCCTTGGTCGGAACAATACTGGTAAGTCCTTGACTTACAACAATTCATTTAGCAATTGTTTGAAATTACAACGGCACTGACAAAAACATGACTTATGATTGTCACAGCATCTCCACGGTCACATGATAAAAATTCGGGCTCTTGGCAACTGCCATGCATTTACAATGTTTACAAGGATCACGGGCATGTGACAGACATTTGCAACCTTTTCAGTTGGCTTCTGACAACCGAAGTCAATGAGAGACATCGGATGTACTGTGTGTCACTGTGTGTCACCATCGTGTCCTGTCGTTCTGTTGGAGGTGGTGTAACTGCTTGGGAATTAGGGAGGGGGATTGTCTTTGGAGATGGAGCGGCCTCCCTCCCAACCGGTTCCAGCTTGGTTTCAAGGTCGACGTGCCCTGACAGTGAACTGTTATCTGCCTAGCACCTCAGCATTCTCAAAACAACCTTGTGGCATTACATTGGTTACCAGTGGACCAGTCAAGGGGTTTAGGTTTTGGGGAAATGAAAGAATTGCTTTGTGCTTCACGCGGGACTTTTCAGATTCCGCCTTGCTCTACTGCATCCATGTTCTCTCAGTAAAAATTATTTGGATTCAAGAAGTTTTGCTTTCCTCAGGGACCAGCTGGGGCAGGTCCTTACACCGTGGGAAAATTGGGCTCGACTTAATTAATGATCAGTGTGTTGAACAATGACAATTCTGGTCCCCATTGTGGACCTAAGCCCAGAATACCTATGTAACAGTAACACCCAATTCCAATTAACTGCAAAAGCACCTCAACACGTTCTGTGGCAGCCATGCAGAAGGATTCCCTGAACGCAGAGAGATGCAACTGGTTTCATCCAGCCCAATGGAGCTGCCTCCTTTCCTATGAGCTTGTGGTTCATGCAGAAACTGTCCAAGAGCATTTGCTCATTTCCTCCTCCACCATATATCTTTCTCCAAGGAGGAGGAGGTGAGGACCAAGTGTGACCTGCTTCCCAATAAACGGGGAAATGTGCCCTACCTTGAAAGGTTGCAAAGAAATTATACCGCATTATGGGGCTCGGAAGTCTGTCTGACCATCAGATTATAGGTCGCCCTCGACTTATGACCACAATTTCCACTGCTAAATAAGACGTTTGCTAAGTGGGTCCTGCCTCATTTTACGACCTTTCTTGCCACAGTTGGTAAGTGAATCACTGCAGTTATAAAGTTAGCAACACAGCTGTTAAGTGACTCTGCAACGGTTTGTGAAGTGTGAGAAAAGGTCAGGGGTCACTTTTTTTCCGTGCTGTTGTAACTTTGAACTGTCATTAAACAAATGGCTTTAAGTTGAGGTCCACCTATATCAAGGTAGGCATGTAAAGGTGAGCCAGTTGCCGTAAGAACTCAAAGGTACATCCATTATTTTGGGAGGTCAGTACTCACGTATTCCCCGTAGGTGTCTTGTGCCGGGAGTGGCGGGAGAGGTCGGTAACCTGCTGATGGCGGGACTCCTCTTGCTCTGGGAGTGATAAGGCTACGACCACGGCTGACGGGACCTCTGCCCGAGGGGACTCCCCGGGGTGCTGGGGCCCCTCTTGGAATGCTGGAGGGTGGTGGCAGCACACCCCCACGGGCCCTAAGGGGAAGGAAAGAGGGAAATCACCATGAAAAGTGCACCTTCTGAGTTTTAGAACCTCCCACAAACTCTTCCAGGCTGGACACAGAGATTCAATGTGGAATTACCTAGGAATCATCCCACCTAGCCCCCTTTTAAGTCTGTTAATATGAGAACAATTAACCAGTGGCTTGCTTTTAAATGGTGGTGGGTGCTTCATCACTGAAGGTTTTTAAGAAGAGACCGGACAGCCACTTGTCTAAAATGGTATAGGGTCTCCTGCTTGAGCTGGGGGTTGGACTAGAAGACCTCCAAGGTCCCTTCCAGGTTTATTCTAATTGAATTAATAAGAGCAACGGAATAGCAAATAACAATAGCAACCCCCTCTAAGTGGCTTACAGAGACAGGATATTGCCCCCAATGATCGGGATCTTCATTTTACCAACCTCGGAAGGATGAATCAACCTTGATCCACACACATACACAGGCGCGCGCGCACACACACACAGGCATAGAACATGTTCCACAACTAGGAATGAATGTATATGATGGTCAGGAGTTTATTCTCTTTGAAATATGTAATTTCTTCTCCTTTTCCCCTGCCCTTCAATTTAACGCAAATGTAGTCCGTGGTAGGGCTATGCAGTGCTTCAGTTTGAAAATGCTCATAAGTCCTGTTATAACTCTGAATTGTCATGTCTCGTTGGAATATGAATTTGTGGGGGAAGATGAGCTGGAAGAAGAGCCGACAGAGATTGAGAGGGCGGCTCCGTTGGCCTTGGAGGAAACTGGGGAAGGGCAGAGTCAGTCCGGGCAAGGCTTTTCAGGATTAGAAAGGCTTGCAGACAGGAAGGAGCAGGAGAGGCAGAGCTCAGGCGAAGAGCAAAGATCACCCCCTCCTGATCCTAGAGCACGGAGAGAAGAGAGAAGGCAAGACCAACGGAGACTGAGCCAGGTACGAGGGAGGAGAGTGCCCCCCTTTTACAAGGCACACCCGGGGACTGAGATGTGAGGTGCCGGTGGGAGGGGCATTTGTCAGGAACAAGTGTCGAATCTGTGGAAACTTGTGTGCACTTGCCGACACCTGGAGATTACTGTGCCGTCTTGTGGGGCTTGCCCAGTTTGCCTGCTTTGCTGAACTGCTGGACCTGGTTACTGTCTGGCTATTCTGGCTTCCTGGACTACTCGCAGCTAGAGGCTTCTGAAGATGCATGTGAGAGCTTTGCTCCAGGTCTTGTAGTAAACGTGGGGACGTTTGGGGGCAAAGTTGGAGCAATAAAGAGGAGTTAAACCTGTTCTCTGGCTCCTGGATCATCACACTGAATGTTCAGCAAACAATTTTTTTTTTTGTAAATCAAGGACTACCTGTATCCTTTTTGATAGATCACCCCGAGCAACAAATGAGATTAATGTGATACTTCCAAGCCGTGGTCGAAAGCAATTCTGATGTAATAAGTTAAGGAAAGGAAAAAATAGAACAGTAACTTGGTGACTGGTAATGATCATCTCAAACACTCATTAAGAGAACCATGTATTATTTTTCCAGGGATGGTGATATATGCTTCCAGTTGTAGATGATTGATTACAAGTCCTTCCCGATGAATTTCATCACATACATCTCATTTTTGGTGAGCTTCTCCCCAAACCTGGCTGGGGTGAGAGATGCTGCAAGCTGCCATATGAAATGCTATAGTAAGGGTAAAACCTGGCCTTGTGCGTTTAATAGACACACATAATGAAATGTATTAGAGAAAGAATGCAATCTAATGGGTCAGAGAGCCATCTGTAACTACCCTCCAGATGGGGGGGGAAAAAACACCTTGTAAAAATACGAATTTCATTTGTTTCTTCAGAAGAAGCCTGAACGTACACATGTACAGTCACACAAACGTGGATATAGAGATTATGTCACTAAGAAGTATCACTTTTCTTGGCTGCTTCTGGAAATAGAGGGATTAAAAAAAAAACTTAATGCTCCAGAAACAAAACTTAAAAGCATTTTAACCAAAGCAAAGGAGAAAAAAAAATCTGGTTTTGCAAAAAAAAAGAAAAATAGGAGGCTAGCAAGCAGCTCTGTTCTTGAGTAGCAGATCAAGGGCCCATAGCCTATCCAATTCAAGGAATTGTCTTAAAAGAAGAAATAGATTAAAAGGCAAACAGAAGACACAGAAGAATACACTATCTGCAGGGTTTTTCTCTTTTTCCCTTTTTTTTTGCAGAAGCAGCAAAAGCAGATAAAGAAGTCAAGACGGTGAGCAGTTTGAAGATGACTTCAGCGATCAATGCTTCAAACCTGAACCTTTTGTTTCATGTTAAACCGCAGCTCAACTTTTTGTGTTGCACAGATGGCTAGACAAGGATAATAGTTCATAATCTACAACGCATGTTTGCCCCTATCACCCCTAGACGCTATCTCTCCCATCAAATCAGGGAGAGTAAAAAAAACAATCACATTTTTCCCCTCTGAAAAGCTCCCGATGTTTTTCAACCAGCCGTTATTTTGCCAGTCACTACACGGCTATGTGCAAAACCCTTTTGGAGATATATTTGCAAGGCGATTCGTCAGCGGCACTCTGTTTGCCTGATGTATTTTATTTATTTCATCTAAAGGGTTTGTGCGGTGGTCCAAATTGAACAATGGGATTGCAGGCAGCTTGTAAGAAAACAGAAAGCCAAGATAAAAACAGCAATCGATAGGAATCAGTAACAGGCAACCAGGCTCACAGGTGACAGCTGAGAGAATACTTTAAAAAATGATATGAGAATAGGACTAATGCAGAGTTACCCAAACTTTCCGGGTTGGCATCCTGGAGTGTGAGGGAAAGGGGAAAGAGGGGATAATTTTTTGGGGGGGCGGGATGCATATGTGCATGTGCCCACGAGAAATGCACGAGTGGGGCCGCCAGTGCTTGTGACAACTCACATGAGTGGCAACCGGCCACAACAAGGCTTATGCGAGAAAGGCTGTGTGTGGGCAAAGGTGCGCACACCGGCCGTCCCCTCATGTGGCCCAGTGGCTGCCCACGGCCTGATACTAGGCCGTGGACCACAAGTTGGGGCCCATGGACTGATGTTTCTATACTCTTCACTGTTGATACTCAATGTCCTCTCTATTTTACATTTTGAACTATTTTGCCTTCTGGGTTAATAAATCATACACATAAAGATATACAGTGGTACCTTGGTACTCAATTGCTTTGTAACTCATCGAATATGGGACTTGGTGCAAATTTTGTCCCAGTACTCATTGTTTGTTTGGTACTCAACACACAAACTAGAACTTGCCGCTGCCTTGTAACTCACAGTATTATTCGTTATGGAAAAAAATTGTTTGGTACTCATTACACCTCTTGGAAGCAATTAGCAATGAGTACTGAGATATCACTGTATATATTTGTTTAGCAATCTTGGAAGGGTTTCCAATTTTTCCTGCACCTAAAAACTACATCATTGCTTTGCACAGCAATATTGGCAGGATCCAATCTGGGTCGGTCACCAGGCCCAGAGGATTAGCATTCTGAGCTTTTGGACTCTTGCTGGGGCCCATCTTCAGGGAACTTCTCTCTACTGGAATGTGTTGGCAAATATTGGCAGTGTCAATTACCATGGAGCTGGTTTCTTTTTTTCACATAAAAATCCCTAATTCTTCTTACTTTAGACAGCAGAAGAATGTTAAGTAAAGCAAGGATATTTGTTCATTCATTCATTCATTCATTCATTCATTCATTGTTTTCCTCATTGCCTCATTCTACAATTGCATTGATTATTTTTGTCGTCTCTTTTTTTCTGGCTAAATATCCTTTCCGAGACCAGAGCAAATCCCCTTTTGTTTTTAAATTCTTGAAGTATCTGGTATCACTTAAAAGTTTCCCCATTTCTTGTTTTGAGTTCCCATCTGTAATGCTGGAGGCTTTTGTGAATGTAATGTTTCTCTCAACACTACGTCCAAGTGGACCTCTCTTTATTACTGCTAAATTTTGATTGATCATTGGCCTGCAAGATATGAAGGCAGAATATAGTGGTTATAGGTAGTCCTCAAATAATGACCGTAATTGAGCCTGGAATTACTGGTGTAAACAATGATGTCATTAAGTGGCTCACTCATTATATGACTGTGCCTTTTTTTCTTTTGCCATGGTCATTAAACAAATATTCCGATCATGAAGCCAATCTGTTTTACAGAATGGACGTTGTTGTTGTTTTTTGCCAGAAAACTGGAAAAGAACACTGAAAATTGCAGTCATGTGACCACAGGATGCTGTGCAAAAAAACAACAACAACAAACTGTAAAGTGAGTTTATTGCCAACAGCCCAAAATATGATCTCTGCCGACCCCTCCACCCCCACTGCATACCTTGCCAAAGCAGGAGATAAGCCTCCTCGTGCCCTTAAAGGAGGTTTTCCACGGACTACCGGAACTTCGGCGTTTTCTGAGCCGCCGTTCAAGTAAGTTAATTCCTGCAACTGTGCTTGTCGGATTTCATCATTGTAGTCCTGAACAGGGAAAAGAAAAGGGGGGGGGGGGGAGATGTCACACTGTTGAAGATGCACTCGTGTCAAAGTCTTGAAAGTATTTTTTTTTAATTTCATGGTTCTACAGTTAATAAGAACGGAGAGTTCGTAGAACTGGTGCAGACTTATTTTTATTTTATTTTATTTTTGGGTACAGAGCCGATTCAACACTTTGATAAAGCAGAAACAATGCAAAACAAACATCTGAAAGGAAGTATTCTGTGGGATTTAAGAAATCCAAGCCTGAGGGTCTCTGTTTTTTCTCTCTCTCGCTTTAAGCTTACTTTAAGATGGTGAGAGGGAGGGGGGAAAAAGGCAAGAAGTGTCTTGCTGGATCAAGCAAGCTTTGAAAATGTCCCCCCCCCTCCTGTTTATCCTCCGAATCTTGTGGGAAGAGATTTAATGTTTCTGTATTTACAGACTTTATTATTTCCTGTGGTCAACAGCCCTTTACAGACCAGCTTTCTTTAAATTGCCTGCTGTAAACATGTTTGTTATTTCCACCATGCAGAAATTCCAGAAATACAATCCTTCAATCGAATGAAATCTTAAGAATTGCAGTTGGCAAAAGCGCAGTCCGGAAGTATTTAAGCACACCCTGATAAGACAGACTGTAAACATCCAGGTCAAGGGTCTCCAACCTTGGCAACTTTAAGACATGTGGACTTCAACTCCCAGAATTCCTCTGTCAGTCATGTAAGATAATTTTCTTAATAGATGGTGGGAATGCAGTAAGCGTGATATATCTTGACTTCAGCAAAGTGAAAAAAAAAAAAAAAAAAGACCTGGCTGGGGAATTCTGGGAGTTGGAAGTCCAGAAGTTTTAAGTTGTCAAGGTTGGAGACCCCTGATCCAGGTCATGCATTTGCTCTGAATAGTCAAGGACCTTCCCACAAACCAGAAAACAAGTGTGTTCTACCTTACAC